CAAACTGCGAGGAGTGGAAAACACAGGAAGAGAAGTAACCATGGGTCGAGAAGCGCTCGGTGAGGTGATGAACGAGGATGGAAAATTGTTTGCAGAATTCTGTGCATTCAACGATTTGGTGATTGGAAATGAGATAGTGTGTACAAACACAAGGATATCCACAAAGCGAGTGACATGAATTTCACCAGATGGACGCATTAACAATCAGATCGACTTCATCTCAATATGAAGAAAGTGGAGACACAGTCAGCCTACTGGACACTAGATCAGGTCAAGAAGGGGAGCAGATGTAGGCACAGACCACTTTCTAGTGCAAGGAACCTTCTAAATCAAGTTAGAAGCCTTCAAGGAAGCTGGTGATGGACGAGCACAGTTCAAGTTGAACACCCAGAAGAGAAACTGAACTGAAGGACGAAACCACAAATAAAATCTTCACGTCAGCCATCAAGACAAAATGGGAGATATCGAGCAACATCTCTGAAGAAATCTGTGTGGATGAACACTGAAACTCTTTGAAAGCTATGTAAAAATAAACCTGTATAACCGTATAAGGAAGGAAGAAGGAAGAGGGAAGAATATATGGAATGGATCTCGATGGATACATGGAAGCTGGTAGAGGAGAGGAGGATGGTGAGGCAGAAGATAAATCGGTGCAGTGCAAGGATGAACAATGAGAGGAGAAACTGAGTACAGTGTATAAAACACTAGACAAAGAAGTGAAGAAGAGTGCGCGGAAAGACAAAAGATACTTCTACGACACAGTGGCAAGTGAAACAGAACAGACTGCTGGTAGGAGAGAGAGAGAGACATGATAACACTGTATCAAATAACCAGTTTACTATCTGGGAGGGAAGAGATCAACACACATGAAACCAATGAAAGATGATGAAGGAAACCTAATCACCAAAGATGAGAAACAAAGGAAACGATGGGCTAACCACTTCAAAAAGCTCTTGAATCGACCACCACCTGCAACTCGTTCACAAATATCACCTGCAACCACAGAACTACCAGTGAACACAAATCCTCCGATGAAAATCGAAGTCGTGAACCTCATAAAGCTACTGAAATGCGGGAAAGCAGCAGGACCAGATGGAATCCAGTCGGAAGCACTGAGAGCAGACACAGAGACAACAGTGGACATGCTCACACCACTATTGCAGGTGTGGAAGGAAAGGAAGGTACCTGCTCAATGATTGGAAGAAGGGCTCCCTTGTCAAACTGTCGAAGAAGGGTGACCTATGTCTTTGCAAGAACTGGTGCGGAATCACACTCCTTTCCAAGCTAAGGCGAGCAAAATATAAGGCCGTATCATCTTGGAGAGACTAAAGGATGCGCTCGATTCAAAACTACGACTGGAACCGGCTGGTTGGATTCGGGAACTACAAATCATGTGCTGACCAAATTGCAACGCGACGCTACACTACTCATCATCATAGAACAGAGTATAGAATGGCAATCAGCTCTCCACCTCAACTTCATCGATTTTGAGAAGGCCTTCGACAGCGTCGACCGAGAAGTAATTTGGCAATTGCTGTAACACTACGGAATACCACAAACCTTTATCAATCTCATTCAACAACTATATGAAGACGCCACATGCCAAGTAATTCACAATGGGAAGCTCAGTGATGCCTTTGAAGTGAAGACAGGAGTAAAACAAGGTGGCTGCCTACTATCACCCATGATATTCCTGATTGTGGTCGACTGGATCATGCAACAAACAGTGAGGAGTCAGAAGAGGGTGGTACGCTGGCTGGACCACGGAAAAGAACCTAGAAGATTTGGATTTCGCTAATGACTTGTGTCTAATGTCACACAAACTCGAAAATCTACAGGCGAAATCCAACAAGTTGACAGAAGAGTCAGGGCAGCGAAGGAAGACGGGACTTCAAGTGAACGTAGAGAAGACAGAGGTGATGAAGATACCCAACCAACCAACAACAACAACAACAACGACAACGACAACAAGCTGCAATCGCCATCAACGGAAGAAACCTAAAGGAAGTAGTCTCTCTCACCTGCCTTCCTAGGCAGCACCGTTTCAACTACAGGCGGCACAGACACAGACGAGGACATTAAAGCCAGAATCGGAAAGACGGCAAGACAGGCATTCATTAGCCTGAAACCAGTGTGGAGATCTGCACTCAGCATAAAGCGTGAACAAGATCCGGATTTTCAACACCAACGTCAAGTCAGTGCTTCTGTATTGTTCAGAGACTTGGGGCGTTACGAAAGACATTTCCAACAAGCTACAGACATTCATCAACAACTGCATACGCTGTCTTGTTACTGAAGAACAGATGACCAGAAATAATAAGCAGCAAGGAGCTCTGGCTGGCGGGCGGGCAACGAACCAACCAAGAAGCTATTGCTCAACAAATATGCAGAAGGAAGCGGGGATGGATTGGATTGGGCATACACTGAGAAGGTCGACTGGGGGCACCATGCGTCAGGCCAGGCCAGGTGATCCAGTGGAACCCAATGGGAAGCGACGAGTTGGGCGTGTGAGGCGGGGGTGACATGGAGGAGATGGTGTGAGGAGGAAATGAGAGCTTGTGGGTTGTTGTGGAGCCAGGTTCAAAAGATTGCAGAGAACAGAGTACACTAGAGATGTGCTGCTGAAGCCCTATGTTCCATTAGGAACCGAAAGGACAAATACTAATAATAGTAGTAACCGATAGACGAACACTGGATACATATTAAAGATATTATTTGGAGCGCTTTTGATAAAAACGTTCCAAGACTTTAAGCAACTTATGTAATATTAGGATTCGTTATGACAGGCGTACATACCAGTGCAACCTGGCTAAACAGTTAAGCTACAAGCTGAAAAGTTTATATCGGTTTATATCACAATGTAAACCAACGAATAAGGGTTTAAACTTCATCACGGGTTCTGTCGGACAACCTTTGAGCATCAGTAATGTAGCAGAACTGTTGAGCGGTCGATTTGTTGAGAAACTCGACCCAGTAATGCACCCGTTATCAGCATCTAGTAATGTAACGAAGTCTCAGGACCGCCATACAAAGCTGATGAACTTGAAGATTTCGTCAAACCAAGTGTTTGCGAGACTTTTGACGCTGAGGAAAGAGAAATCCCTGGGCTGCAGTGACGTAGTGCCGGTGCTCCTACGCAACTGTGCCGTGGCGCTAAGGCTGCCTATATGCAACCTGTTCACGCACTCATTGGAAGTAAGTCAACTCCCCAAAGAATAGAAACGCGCCATCCTTTCACCAATCTTCAAGGGAGGAGACCGAAAACATCCGTGCAGCTACAGACCAATAGCACTACCCACCATACTTCCTAAGTTACTAGAAAGACTGGTTGCAGATGTTGTTTGTGACCACCTGAATAGAAATAGCATCATCAGTCCCACCCAGCACGGCTTCGGAACCGGGCGGTCATGTGCCGCAATTTTGATGACCGCTTGGAGTGACTGGACCGCTAGATGGGAAAACAAACAACAAGTTCACGTTATCTTCCCGGACTTGGCCAGAGCTTTCAATATCGTCCCATACTACATTATGCTCGCCAAACTTGCAAAAGTTGGTATCAGTAAACCACTCCTGGCATGGTCTACAGCACACTTAGAAGACAGAGAATTCTGCACTGAAGTAGGCAGAACTCGTTCAACCTGGAGGAATGCAAGAAGAGGAATCTATAAAGGAGCGATCCTTGCGCCACTCCTATTTTTACGATTCATAAATGACCTCCCATTAAAATCTCATTTATCCTTCTACTCACCGACGACATCAAAATACGGGGGAAGATAGGTGAGAAAGAGGATCCTAGGACACTCCAAAACTACCTGTTGCAACTGGAGTCCTGTTCAGCCACAAACGGTTTGAGCTTCAACCTGGAGAAATGTAAGGTGATGTATCTTCGCATACCAGAGGCGATGAGGCCGGATAAACTCTTAAAAAGTATGCAATCACTAAGGTATCCACAGAGAAGGACCCAGGACTAAACGCTTTCGACACACTGGATACTACTGGCATTTATAGGGGAAACCCACTCGCTTACCCCATCACAGGGGAAAGCCACCTAGTGTGTGCCTTATGGAAAGTCCTGCCAAAAGGAAGTGGCCACAACTACATCAGTCAACTCCTTCAAATGGCTACCGGATGAGTATGTGAGCGCAAATGGCTTGCCGTGAACATTTGTCAACCACAACTGATGACGCATCCTTCCACCCTTGTATTCCCCAACCCTAGTGTCTGCGACAAGAAGCACCTCTCCCCAATATTACTACGTTACATTTATCCTTTCATGAGTACTTTTCTCACCTCTTCTCCTCATCCCCCACTCACCCTATTTCTACCACTTTTTAAGTAACGCTTAACACTTATCTGCAGGTGCCTAAAACAACGGGAATTGCAAAGGGTTGATTGATCTTATCAGCGGCTGCGTTGGCCCCCAAACAAACCAAGCTACCATTTGCAAATAAAATACTTTCGAAAAGACAACCGCTACCTCCGAAACTGTAAGCAGGAAGACGCAAAGACTTCTGCGACCATCGAGGGAGCACAGCCAAACGAAAAGAACGAAGCTTCAAGACTTAAAAGAGAGAGCTCAGAAAATACAAGTTTCCTCTACTCGCACAATTGGTGTTGGGGACGTATGTCTAAAATATGACTACTAGGTTTTATCTAGCCTCTGAGTAATTTGTTGAACGACGTCCCAAAACGAGATTTTTTTGAGTTTGGGACCGTCATTCCACTCTGACAGCTCAACGGTCCGTAAAAGACAAAACGAAGAGAGAGACTTGGACTGTTGATCAAGAAGGAAAGTAGAAGTTGCTTCCGTTCACTTACAGAAGTCTGTCGACAAAAATATTGCCTTAAAGCGAGAAAACTATGGGGTCCGAAAAATAACAACTGTAAATTGAGGGAGTGGGGTGTGAAATGTGTTGCAAAAGACTCCGGAGTATGTTGAACTTCTGTTTTGGAGAGTGAAACTGTTAGAATTAGTTGTAAGGCGCGATACTTAAGTCCTTGCCAAGGTAGGTTCGGTGGTTTGCACGTGTGGATAACTTTTGTCTTGGCGTTCATTTAGTGTTTTCGCCACCTTTTCTTTATACTAAGCAATGGCAGTTGGGGGGCAAAAGAAAAGTACGAAATCGGGAAAGAAAGGAGGAAAGAAGAAAACGTATGACTTGAAATTTGTCATGATCTTATTCTCCACAGAGCTGATCCATTCACTAAAAAAGAGTGGTATGATATCAAAGCTCCAGTTATGTTCCCTAAAAGAACGTGTGCAAGAACGTTAGTGACACGAACGCAGGGAACTCGTATTGCGAGTGAAGCCCTTAAAGGTCGTGTGGTCACGCTCAGTCTTGGTGACCTTAGTGAAAAAAATGAGGAAGTTTTTCGGAAATTCAAGCTGCAGATTGAAGATGTCCAAGGCCGTCATTGTCTAACAAACTTCCATGGTCTCGAGCTCACTCGCGATAAACTATGCTCAGTTGTTGTCAAGTGGCGGTCAACAATCGAAGCACATGTCGATGTAAAGACCACAGATGGATATCTGCTTCGTTTCTTCATCATTACGTTCACTCCTAGCGTACCACGATCGGAGAGGCGTCATACTTATGCACAAACCACACGTATTAAGCGAATCCGTGCACGTCTGGTCGAGATAATTCAACAGGAAGTTTCCTCTTGTGATTTGAAGGAAGTTGTTAACAAGCTGTAAGTTTGGAGTTGAAAGCTTACCATTTCAGGATCCCGGATTCCATCGCTCAAGATGCTCGTAAAGCAGCTTCATGGATTTACCCGCTAAGTGAGACCTTCATACGAAAGGTTAAAGTCTTAAAGAAGCCGAAAGTTGATCGTAAGTTCAACTGCTTGTAATTCATTCTTTAGTTGCTCGGCTAATGGAACTTCATGGAGAATCGAAGTCAGCTGCACCAGGGGAAGCAGTTTCTCGTCCCGATCACTATGAACCTCCAAAAGTTGACTCAGTTTAGTTCGAAATAAAAACCTTTCGTGGAAGCTTCGTTTTTCAATCCTATCAGCTGTGCTGTTGAATTACCTTGGAAAATTCGATTGTAAATTTTTGACGTAGTGACTATAAGCGTATCCATTTTGTAATATTTGTCAGCAGCCGGTAGCAGTGATATGCTGCTGACAAAAAGGTTGTCAAAACTACTAAGATATGAATACTAAGTTGCATGGAATTAAGCGCAAGTAATTGATTTTGTTATTCGCCGTAGATAATTGCCGTCAGATGTTATCTGGATAACTTCGAGTACTCAGTATTGTTCTGCTATACGGAGACTGACAAAGTGCAGTCTTCTGAACGTGCTGGACTGAAATTTAATTATGTTCGGCATGTGTTCACATCTGTTGAATGTAAGATGAAGCTCCATGATTTCCTTGCCACAAGTGCTTGCAGTTCAGTGATAGGAGATGAAGCGGTAAGATGTGTCAACAACTTTACCTGCTTATTAAGTTGCTGCAACCTGAACGGGTTGGTTGCAGGCAACTGCAGTCCCTTCTGTCCTCTTAAATGGCTGTAAAGTATAGTCGTTAAAAGTAGGAGACATACAGGGGTTACAGGGTTCTGGATCCTATTTCTTCACAGCATTGCTCATGTTTGGTCAAGTCAACGTGTGAACAATACTTAAGTGAGGCGAACAGTACTAAGCAGGAAAAGCGAGTCGGTTGATGAGACTGTGAACCTTCATCAGCTGACATGGCTTAGACATGTTCTATGTATGCCAAGCCAGCGCCCAACTCGATGTACAATACCAGGAGGAGTTGAATTAATTTGGGTGGTCAGATCAAGATGTGAAACCGGTCAATGAATTCCATTTTTGTTGGTTTAAGCTGTCTGGTGAGATGTAGACTGCATAGTTGGGTTCATCGAGACGAAAGGAATCACGGTTGAGGACTTGGTGACGTGGCTAGAAATCGGTCACAATGGTGCAGATGTATTCACTCGTCTTCAGATTGTTCATTCTCTCGCAACACTTTGATGTCACTTATTCTATTTACTTGTTTTTTGTATACTAGTATGAGTTGTTGCAGCTTGAATCAATGGACTTGCTTGCAGGGTTCTATGTTGGTTTCGTGGATCAGTTTCTTGTGGGTTTCACCGTACCTGATTCCCATGAATGCCTGATAACTATCATTAAGTTTCCACTGAAGGTCTCCAGGATGGTTTCAGGCATGAAAATATTTATCTATGAACCCCTTAGTAGTTTTTAGCGACTATCATGAACATTTTATGTTGGGAACATAGTATCCGATCATAACTGATAACAATTACGTTGTAGATGTCACTATATTCTCAGTCTTGGTGTCAGTTTGGTATTGGCTTCGTGAGCATAATCCAGTACTACGTCTTACTGCAAGCGTTGGAAGTCATTAGTAGTGGTTTCGTATCATGCAGAAGGTATGAAATATGTCGCGTTTGGTCCAGTGCCTATTCTTCAGTGTCCTGTTGGTAACTTGTAGAAGTTAACATTGGAGCTCTTGTATTGTGCTGAGTTCCTCAGTGCATAAACGTGGTTAACTCGTCATAATCGTACATACCGGGAACAGCAATATAGACGTGCATTATCCGTTCGTAATACACCAGCGCACCTGTTGAATTGGTGTATGGTTGTTTCTTTTCACTTGTGGAATGAGTCATACGGATATTTATGTCGAGGATGCCTCAAGCACTGAACCTTCTCCAGTGCTTGTTTGTACATCTGAATTTCTCACTAACGCTTGAAAACCGTGTTAGGTTGATACTGGGACCGTTTCCATCTGTCCATCATTGCTAAGTGTTGTCATTCATTTTCTCACACCTACTGACCTGCATTTCCTCCTAATGCATCAGCCAACCTACTAAGTTAGTAAACGTGTCATGAGGTATTATCCATATCTGCCTATTGTAGGCTTTCAGTTGCTGTGGTTGGCGTCTTACCTGGCTAGCCACAAGATGGTGTTTTAACACGGTTTTGGGTGTCAGTCACCTGAAGGCTGGTAACTGACAAGATATGAATGCAGGTGGTTTGGTTTTGACCTCATTTGCAAGGCACATCTGTTCATGGTGCTACATGCTCAGGACAGGACGCTTTTTTACGTTATGACACCCTTATTTGCAATTGCCATTAGGGATTATGTAAGATTTTCACACTGCTTTTCTTAGGCAACTGTGTATTACTTCATGGCTTAGGTTTGGGTCACTAAGGTTTTTCTGAGGTTGCTGTTAGCTTCTTGTTGATGAAGATTTTCTCAAGGTAGTCAAATTTCGTTTCGTACCAGCAATAATGGCGATCAAAGATTTTCCTAACACTATGTTCCGGATGTTGATGTTCGACCATTTCCTTTGATATTCTTCCTTCAGTCTCCTTACTGCATGTCAGAGATTAGCTAACCAACTAATCCTAGTGATTTGTACGAGAAAACGACATTCCCCAACAGTCGGTAGTCAAAGTGAGAATAACGCTCCCTTATGAGCTCCTGTGTTGGTTTGATGATATCTATTGCACTTATTGTGAAGTAAGGAGAGGTAGATTCCCAATTTGGACGGTCTGGAGTGTGAAAATATGCCTGTAGCAATTACCACTTATCTGTTTAAGCGAAGAAATAATCAGGTTGGTGGTGTATGGGCACGACGATGTGTTTGGCTATCATCGGACGTATTTCATCCCAGTCATTTGTGCCGCGGCATGCCAATTACACCGTTTCTCATTGTCGCGTGATGGACTCTTACTGCGGAAAGTGTAGATAAGCGTTGGCTACACCTAGAAAAAGCTATAGAAATGGTGAGTAGAGCTACTTGCTGCTTTGATGCTGATTGGCGTATTCTGACAGGCAGGGTATATAGTGGTGTGCATAAGTCTATTACACAACACCAATCAGCACTTGCATTGAGACCACTAGGCCTAGTGGCGAGAAGGCTTGCATGAGATCGAGGCAGCAGTTGCATCTGGTAGCAGTTTTAAGCTGTCCTGGCTCATCGATTCACAGATAGCAAGAAGTCTGGTGTTAATGAAGCCGTCCGATGACTCCGTTCTCAACCACCGTTGTCTTTGCAGGATCGCTTAGATTCAGTGAAAACACCTAGTAATTCTGAGGTGAGACTGTGGATTTGGTCATGGTAAAGATCGTCATGAAATATGATGATGCTCAAACAGTGGAAAGTTTTCTTTTAGTTGATGTAGGAGAATTGTAGTTCATAATTATGCTTATTTGCCGGACTAATTACTGTGGGCTGGATTATTATTTTTTTCAGTGTTAAGTCACATACGAAGGTAACTTGGTCACATTGTGGTACAAAATGCTTCTTATCATTTAAACGTACAAGTAAATTATTGAGGTATTATTATAATATTATTGTTTGTCCCTTTAGTTCCTATTGGAACAGGGTTTTAGTAGCACATCTCCATTGCACTCTGCTCTCTGCAGTCTTTCCAACCTGGCTCCACCACTACACAGAAGCTTTTATTTCTTTCTCACACGATCTCCATGTCACTCTCGGACACCCAACTTGTCGTTTCCCACTTGGGTTCCACTCGAGAGCTTGGTACATGATATCCCCAATTGGTCTTCTCAGTGTATGCCCAATCCATTACGAAAATTACTATAGTTTTCATGCAGCGGATTTCCTACTGAATCTTGGAGTCTATCAGCGGTAGCGTCTCCGGAAAGGGTAAACTTGTGATAGATTGTAGTTCCATTTTAGTCTGTTTATTAAAAACGTTACACAGTGAAACAGTATCATTCACTGAATAACGTTTCAGATGTAATTTGTTGTCCATTTTCATATCAGGTAACTCCACAGCTTTGAGACAGAGCTTATATAGTCCTAGTTTCCTCTCATTTGTGATCAGGGTAGTAGGATTTTCTCTATATTTGGGACAGGTGCAGAATTATTTCTGTTCCATATATTTGGTGTTGATTTGATAAACATATTCAGTTATCAATCTCTCTTTCTATCCAACTGTACCTATAGCTATTCACACAATAGAGTATGGTAGTCGTAGCATTAAAAACTAACTTAATTGGACGGGGGGAGAGATTGATAAATGAATATCTGTTTATCGAATCAACCCCGAATACATGTGATAGAAACAATTCTGCACCTGTCCCAAATATATAGAAAATTCTACTACCCTGACCACAAACGAGAGAAAATTAGGATTATATAAACTTTGTCTGAAGGTTGTGGATTTACCTGATATAAATATGGGCAATAAATAATGTTCGGAACATTATCCAGTAAATGATACTGTTTCATTGCATGACATTTCAAATAAACTAAAATGGAATCTCCGGAAAGGGTTTTCCTCAAAATTATCTCGTGTGTTTAAGCGTATCTGGATAGCAGGAAGTTAAACCGTGTGAGGTTGCTACAAATAATTTTCAGTCATATCTACTAGTTTACTCATTTATTTTTGTAAAATTGGATGTTAGTTTGTGTTTTGCTGCTTCCGTAGTCAATCAAGCCCATTTTTTAAAATTTGTATTTCAGCTACTTATGAGTAGTGTGGGAACTGCCGTTTTTTTCATGGGCAATATCAAAAGTCAAAGGCATACTGTTTCCCTTCTACATATCCCTTTAACCGTACCATATAACCTTCATCATTGTTATATCTCTTGTTTAAAAGTAGAAATGTGTCCGTAATTATTTGTTTCCATCACGAGTTAATGTCTGAACTTAATTGTTCATTCGACTTGACTACTGTCGCTTAAAGTACTTGATTGCGTTTACTAGCGCAAAGTCGTTTGTTTATGTTGGGATCTGCGAGTTAGAAATGCTAAGATTTTGTTGGAACTTCTTACAGGAGATATTATTGTTACTAATTGAATCTTCGAACCTTTGGTGTCGACAGCTGCTGTTTCCTTTGATTGTTCTGTCACTGACTGCACATATTTTCCCACTCACCGTTTCTCTGCCTGACCTCTGGTTTTGTAGTTGTTTATCATTTTGTAAATCCAGTCTGTACGTATATGCCTATTGATTGGTGGTTAGCTTAACTACCAAGCTTTTGGGAATTCCGTGGTATTTATTTTCTGTCTTCAGTATCGTTGTATTTTCGAAATCAAATTGATGTTCACAG